CCTACAACAGAAAGTTAACAGAAAAGAGTTATGAGAAAGAGAGACAGAAAGAGAATCAGTAGAAGTCACATAGAGCGGGACAAGTCTCGGCCGTGCCTCCGGTAAGATGGGGTTGTGACATTCAAAGAGCGAGTTAGTAGAAATGAATTATAAGAAATGAGAATGAGATAATAAAGAGAATGAGAAAGAATGAGAAAGCTTGAGAAAGCTTGAGAAAGAATGAGATAGAAAGAGAGAGAGTATGAGAAAGAATGAGAGAGTTTGAGTTAGTAAGAATAGAGAGTAGAAGAAAGAAACATGCAGTTCTTTTGCATTAATTGCATGTACATCTCATACATGCATGCACCATGAGTTCTTCCATGGTTAGTGAGAGTATAATGAGAATAAGAGAGAGAACCATGATTTTCCTTCATGGTGAATATGATGAGAATAAGAGAGAACCATGAGTTTCCTTCATGGTGAGTAAGAATAAGAAAAGGAGAAAAGAGAATGAGAACAGAGAGAAAGAAAGAATAAAAAAAGAGTAGAACAGAGTTGAAGGAGAAAAGAGAATGAGAACAGAGAGAAAGAAAGAATAAAAAAAGAGTAGAACAGAGTTAAAGGAGAATAAAAGTATGAGCAAGAAAGAGAAAAACAGTGAGAATTAGAAATAGAAGAACGGTAGAGTAAGGAAAGAACCAAAGAGTGAGTTGTGGTGACAGGTAGTAGAGGATTTACTTACTGAGCATTGTTGTGCTCACCCCACTGTTCTTCCTTGTTTTGTAGGAATTAGGAGCAGCTGTCGGATGGACGTCGAGGAGCGGAGAGTATTGGCACTACTGTCCACCAGTTATGATGTTTTATATTAAGTAGAAAGTTTTTAATATAGAGTACTTTGTATATGTAGAAAATTGTATTTTATGAGTAAAGAAAAGTTTGAGCCCACTATCTTCCATATGCTATGTATGTCTATAATTTGCATAGTATGCATTATCTGAACAGTAGTAGAGAGCAGGTGTTACATTTTTCTTGGAGAACATCAAAATTGTCCAATCCTTATACCCTAAACACTTTATTGTACCCTTAGGAGAATTCGGTCCTAATGCAAACACAAGGAATAGAAAGAGTTGTACGAATAAGACAAAAGAATAGTTTGGCGTTTGGGAGAAGAGAAATAAAAACAAAAGTGGTAGTCACCTCAAATCAATTGAATTGTGAATTTCATTTCTGTTGTTTAAAAAAAAAAAAAGAAAAAAAAACGATTCTGCCTAGTTTAAGGGTATACCGGCTGGAAACCAGAACCCGCCTTAAAAATTGCCTAGCAGTACTTGGCAACCTCTGGTATAACAACGCCACTTACACCTTAAACGCAATTCCCCCGCCGCATTGTTGGTTTCCGAAATAAGAAAGATACAAGTTTGAGGGTTGTAAATTTGTGGACATTTCGATTGGTGGTTGAGAAGAAGTGGAGTTCAATTTGATTTTAGTGTTTGCATGAGGAAAACCGAGCTTTTTTACTTTGTCTTTCCTATCCTTTTCTTGGAACCCACTACCCGAGCCTAACGTTACAAGCTTTTAAAGACCTTTTGATTCTTATCTTTGTCTAGTCCTCATTAGTGGAGAGTAGTTCGATATTTAGGCTTATGGAGTCTACCACCATTTGATAAACTTTACATTTTTGCATAAAATAATCCGGGAAGTTGGAATGTGGATTGAAGTGGGGATCACCTACTCAGTGGACCGATTGAGGAAGACAATCGATATAGCTTATAACTTCTTGGGTGTTGAACATTTCCTGATAATAATTTTTCAACAACTTTTGAGACTTGTGTAAATTCTAGGCAATTCGTTTGTTGAGTTTGAGTCTTGTTGGTTTTGTTAATTTTTCAGTTTTGTTGTTTGAGTGTTTCGTGTTTTTGTTCGTTTGTTTATTGTTTTTGTTTCCGTGAGTTTTGTACTGTATGCTCGGGGACGAGCATAACTTTAGTTTGGGGGTATTTGATAATCTGTGGATTATACCGTTTTCATTAGACTTTTTAGTCGGATTTCAGGTACTTTCTAGTTCATATTGACCTGAATTGTTGCTTAATTCTTTACATTTCCTGTTTCAGGTTAAAATGGACGTTTTGAGCAAATAAGGACAAAATTGGAAATTCTGGACTCAGAAGTTAGCGGATCTCAGAAGTTGGGAGAGTTCTGAAGCAGGATAAAGCACTATGAGGCTTGTTCCCAAGGGAGAGCACCGAGGATCGAAGAATCAAGCGAAGATGCAAGCAGAGTGGCAATTCTGTAATTTCAGAACTTTTCAAGAAGCTTCACAGTGGCGAAGATTTGTTCTTCGCCGCGGCGAAGTGCACCAGTCACGCACCATATCTGCTTCTTCCTTCGCCACGGCGACGGTCGTAATTTCCAGTTTTGTAAAACGCACAGTTTTACTTTTGCATGTTTTTCTGAGGAATTTGGGTGAGGTATAAAAGAAACACTTAGCCTTTTTGGCAAGGGTCGTTCAGGAAGTAGGGTTAGCAGCCTTTACATTTTCTTAGATTGATTTTGGAGCGATTTAGAGATTAACAAGGGTGAAGATTCGATTTTGAACCAGGGGATTCATCATTTGGAGAGATTTCTTGTCTTTTCTCTTATTTTCATTATGCTGAACTTTAATATTATCATTTTTCTTGTTTGTAATGTTGATTTAGCTATGAACTAACCCATTTTGGGTTAGGGTTTTGATTGTAATTTGGATTTTAATGGGTTAAGTGATTAATTGTTTTATTTTCATATGATTATGCTTTGATTGTGTGTTTGCTCTGAGTTTTAATGCTTATATGTGATGAACATGATGAGATTGAGAAATGAATCATGTTAGGCTTCTTGGGTAATCACCATTGTAGTATTGGATGCTAGAGATAGATTCAAGAATCAATGAAATCATTGTAGGATTCTTATGCTTAATGAGCTTGGATTTGTTAACTTTCAAATTGTTGGGTGCGGAAGGTTAATAAGGAAGAGTAGGAAAACATAGCCTGAGAAGGTATGTTTAACACTTTAGAGAGTTCGATTTACAACCAATGCAGAATATGAATTTAGTTTAATTCTTTGGTTTAACCCATAAAGTCCGAATGAAGTCAAAACCCTACCCGTTTTACTTGAATTGATTTTATCCGTGTTTTTCATTTCGCATTCATAGTTAAATTTTAGTTAGTAAATTCAGATTTAGTGTTTATTTTAATTTGCTCCCATTTATCCAAAAGAAGTCGATTGCTCCAAGTTGAGAAAAGTAGGAAACTTAGTGCTTAGCTAGCAATCCTCGTGGGAACGATACTAACTCATCACTTTATTACTCAAGCGATTAGTATACTTGCTACATATTGCATGTTGTAGGAAACACGCGTCAGTCCATAGATTCCAAGGTCGTTGTCCTTTACCGAAATCTCACCGAGATAATATCTCCTATACACAGGAGTGATGAATCCTTTGTCGATCTACCATAGTCTTGATGTACTTCTCAATGCAGCTAATCACTCCCATATTGATAACCCTCTCAGAATTACGTTTGGTAAGTGTCAAACTACACCAATAGGTATACAGGATGCTTTGGTGATCTCAATTCTAAGGATCACATGCACTACCATCTGATAGAGGATGTATTCCATGGACACTAGTGTTACCATCTATATGGAATCCTCTAATGGGTCAATTCGGTGAACTTGTGAATCACAAGCACTCATGCGCTACACCAAGTTGTCACAAAACAACCTTGACATGTGAGATCAGTCACTGCCTTCTGATAGGGTCGTTTGACACTATAATAACCTTACCTATTATCTGTGCCCTAGGTCAGGATAATACTCTAGCTATAGACATTTCTAGAATGGTCACCATAAGTGATCATAGGGATCTCACAATCAAGACTTATCACTACTTGATTCCCTCATCACGGTTCAACCACCCTAAGGGCATAAATTAATACATAGATATGAAATATGCTTTACATAATATAATCAATGCCTTTTATATATATTGAATATTCATGATCCACAAAGTCAACATACAACAATATGATTGGCTCATGGGCACCTACACTAATGATATGTAATAATACATGTCTTTAGAGTGGTGAAACCATGACGAGGGAATCAAGCGATTATAAGTCTTGATTGTGAGATCCCTATGAGCACATATGGTAACCATTCTAGAAACATCCATAGCTTTAGTATTATTCTGACCTAGGGCACAAATAATATGGTAGACTATCACAGCGTTAAACGACCCTACTGAAAGGTAGTGATAGATCTTACATGTCAAAGTTGTTTGGTGACAACTTGGTGTGACACATGGATGCTTGTTATTCACGAGTTCAGTGGATTGGCCCATATCACTACAAGAATTTCAGCTTACCGCAAGAAAATAATTTGTCACTAGAAATATCAAAATTGTGACCATTTCGCTAATGTGACGAATTATATTAGTCATCAAGTTAGTCACATTAAGCTCGTACTCTTAAGTGTATAGTGACGAAAGAGCGTTTGATCACCATAGCCTAATTATTTATTGTGACAATAATAATTTGTCACTTTAAACCAGTTTATTGTGGTAAATTATTTGTAACAATAGAAGACATTGTTTATCACTACAAATAATATTTTGTCAGAATTGATTTATATTTAAAGACTAAATGATAAACTTTATGGTGAGAAAATAACATATTATGACAAAATTGATTTTGTCAAAATTGTAAATACTGGCTAAATTATTTGCTCATAATTTTAATAGTGACATAAATTTATTTGTCATTAACTTTATTGTGACAACATTTAGTTTGTCACATATTTGTTTATATGACAATATTATTTATCAAAATTTGTATAGTGACGAAAACAATTTTGTAAAAATTTTAATAGCATGACAAATAATTTTACATGACAAATTTTTTTTGTCAAAATAATATAGGCATGACAAATATTGTTTGTCATCTCAATAATGATAAAAATATTCATGTCTATACTTTACATCATATATAATACTGAAATAGAGAAAAAAAAAAAAAAGATGAAGGGTTAGTAAAAGGAAGCAGAATGGAGGAAATTGCAGCCATAATTCTTTACATCATATATAATACCACTTTACGTCATATACTATACCTCTTTACGTCATATACAATACCTAAATGATTGGAAAATTAACTATGAACAATAATTAATACTTTCCAATCATTCAAAAAAAAAAAATCTACCAACAAAAATCATCTTCAATTCCCATCTGTACATAGGCCATCAGATCATTCTCCCTTAAAAATGCATCAGAGGGAAAACCACATCTTTAATATAAACAACTATTGTTGGAGACACCCCCATCCATGAAACAGCTGCTATATTTGCTCTCAAAGTGACGCATGCTAGTGACGACCAGTCTTGGAAACAGCCTTGTCCTTCAACACCAGCTTCATGGTGATTGGAAGATCATCAGGTATCTTAAGGATCATCAGGTATCTTAAGGACCATCAGGCACAACCCTGTTCCAATTATTAATATCTTTTAGAGCAGGAAATTGCAAAAATAATCCACATTAAGATGAACTATATAGGTATAACAATAGGCGAAATTGGGTGGCAGAACGCGAGCAAGCATGAAATGTAATTTGGCTTCAATTGGTGTACCTTAAATAAGTTAGTACATGCAAAATATCAAGTTCATATCAGGGATTTTGTTACCTCTAACGGCGCTGCATATAAAACCTTGTTGTTGTATAGTCCCCATAGTATATATATATATGGCTAATCACCAGTTAAAGCCCGTGGTCTATGCTTAATGGTAGAAAGAGACATCCCAGTCTGTGAAACCGCTCTTACAAATGCCATACTCGCAGTCAAAGTTGGACCATAAGCCACTGGCCACACAATAAAAAAGTAAAACTACATTTAATTAATTACATTGAAACTTGAAAAAGTGTTAGACCCATACTAGTCAACAAAGTAAAAGGAAAAGCATCCTTGCTCTATTGATCAACATGGCAACCAATCAAGATTTCCAAAGAACTAATTCGATTCAAAGAAAAAAAACACTAAAGAAATGCTTAGGGGGAAAGAGATCAAAAGGGTCCCATACTATTTTTGCTCAAGGTTCAAGAATTAATGAAATATGCCTTAGAAGATTAAATCTTCCCCTTCCCAATTTACATTTGCAACTAACACACATAAACACACTATAATAACAATTTACCAAACACCAAATTAGAAGTAAAAATAGAAAATTTTAAATTAAAATATATAGAAAAAAGAAATAAGAAATACTGAAAAGTATATCATGTTTAGAAATTCAATTTCATTAAAATTTTCACATTTAATTTTATAAATTTGGCATTCAACAAACACTCTGAGTTACCAAAACAATAGTGACTTTGTGAGGTGTAGATCATATTGCGTATATAATTTCCTTTACCATGTTCTTCAGAGTACATACAAGATTAATAAGACAACAAATATCAAAAACTTTCAAAAAAATAAACACAACCCAATACCCATCAAAGGAATTGTCTAATAAGCAACTTTAATGATAATACTAAACAAAGCACACAAAATGAAAAAAGTCCAGCAAGGGTTTTGGTTAAAACAAGACATGAAGTGGTCGCGTGGAAAGAATTAATCAAACTATAATATCAATAAATTTCAAAAGAATGAAGACAAACCATTAAGGCATTTCTCTAAAAATAACAACTTAATGATAATACCAAACAAAGCTTACAAAATGAACGAAACTAGCAAGTTTTTTGCTTCAAATAAGACATGAAGTGGTCAAGTGTAGTGAATTAATCAAACAACAAAATCAAAAACTTTCAACAAAATGAACAAAGCCCATCAAGAAAATTTTCCAAATATAAAGACTTTACTACTAAAACCAAACAAAGCTCACAAAATGAAAGGAACCCAAGAAGCGTTTTGCTTCGGATAAGACATAAAGTGATGAAATGCAGTGAATTAAACAAAAAAGAATATAAAAAATTCAACATAATGAAGACAACCCATCAAATTAATTCTCTAAAGATAATAACTTTAATACTAAAACCAACAAAGCTCACGAATTGAAAGGAACCAAGCAAGGGTTTTGCTTCAAAGAAGCCACAAAGAGGTAAAGTGGAATGAATTAACGAAACAACTTTTAACTCTAAAACATAACAAAGCTCAAGGATTTTGCTTCAAACAAGACAATAAGTGATAAAATATGTCAAATTAATCAAACAATAATATCAAAAAATTTAAACAAGAGCCCACAACCCATCAAGAGAATTCTCTAAAAATCACAACTTTAACGGTTAAACCAAACAAAAATCACTAATTCAAAAGAACCCATCAAGGGTTTTGTTTATTTTGCTCGTTTGTGCGCCTCCAACAAGACCAACGCTAACACCAATGCTGCAGCCAATGTCGGCGCAGAAAGCAGGACCCATTTTGGCGAGGTTTGAGCTTAATTTGAGGAACTGTTCATCTCTTTCATCTTCTTCAATTTAACAAGCAAAGAGACGAACTTGATGTTGATATGGGTCCTTCTACTCAATTTCTCAAAACAAAAACAAACCCACTATACAAAATAAAACTACACCATCATTCAAATATAGGCCCCAAACAAACATTACTTGAAGCCAAAACAAAACTCAAACCCAGATATACAAATTTCTACACATATTAACCCAGAAAAACCAAACCTTAATGGTTCACAACAGTAAAAATCCAATTTTTAAACCAAATACAACAAACCCTTATATAATAACCATTATTATGAGAAATCCTGAAGCAATGGTACAAAATAATGAACTGATAGAACAAAAAACACAAATAAAAACAAAACCCTAAAAATAACGATTTGTTTTGAAATTAAAGCCAATTTTTTCCCGAAAAGAAAAAGAAAAAAAAAGAAGGAAACCTGGCCTTTGACTTTGAGGTTTATGTGTGCCGATTGATTGTTGGGCTTCTTGTCTTCCTCTTGCAGTGGATTACTAACACCTGACATCTTCTGTCCTTTTGCGTTCTGCACAACCTCCCCATCTTCCTTTTATACTAGTTTTGGAAAATTTTGTTTGCTCCCTATTTGAATGAAAAGTAACAAGGTAAACCCCAAATAATATAACATTTGACCCCTCAACAATGTAAAGGAAACAAAATCAACCTCATTTTGTGTTGGCGGGAATTAAATGTTTTTTAAATAATTGGGTATATGATAACTTTTTTAAAATTTTATTTTATTTTGATTACAGGGAAACATTATAAAAAATCTATTATATTATTGGGCTATTGTAACACTTTAAAAATGATATTGTAAATATATATTAATGACATTTAAAAAAAAAAAAAAAGAGTTACCATTGATATATAATATGTTATAAAAAGTTGAAGAAAATTTTTACCATACTATTTTAACATCAAGTGTTACCATAAATAGTCTACAATAACACTTTCGAAAGTGTATTTTTTTTATTTTTAAAAAAAAAAAAAAAAAAAAGTAATAATTTAACAACAGATTAGGAATTAAAATTTGGGGACAAATATTTACAATGGATCGAAATGTGTTGCTACGATTTTACAAACAAATTTTTTTTTTCATTGCTGATCTGTTGGTAATTTGTTTTGGAATAAATTTCTTTGATCTAGCTAGATATAGCAAAACCTGACCCGCCCCTAATCACCCCCTGATCCCGACCAAATTACCTAGCCCCTGACCTCATACCCAATCCTATGCATTAATGAGTTTTTTTTTTTTTTTTATAATGACATATATGTTATTACTCAAAACTTGAAAGGAATGACAAATACTTGTACGTGTATTAATTATGTTTTTTAACAAATTTTTGTCACAATATATCACATTCAATTTGACTCAAATATTTTGTCACTAATACCTCTATTTTAACATTTTCAAATGACAATTTTTTTTTGCAATGATAAATAATTCTTTTGTGACAAATTAGTTTGTAATTATAGCATGTATTAATATATATACTGATTAAAGTTTTTTATGACAAATATGTTTGTCACAATAAACAATTTATCTCGGCGCTTAAATTTGACTCAAACATTTTGTCATTTATACCTCTATTTTAGCATATATTATGACAATTTTTTATTTTTTTTTTTGTAATAATAAATAAATTCTTTTGTGACAAAATAATTTGTAGTTATACCATGTATAACTAAATATAGTGATTAAAATATTTGATGACAAAATATGTCTATCACAATAAACAATTTACCTAGATGCCAAAATTTGGTGCCAAAAATTTGTGACGAAATATTATCATAAAAATGTTTTTCTTCACTACATTTATTATGGATTTCTTTATTGTGATAAAATATTATGACCATATTTGTTTTAGTCACTATATATTCTCTTTATCATACTTAATGTGATGTTTTTTTATTTTGTCATATTACCTATATTACTCGTGACAAAATTAATTTTGTCACAATATAATATATTTCTTGTAGTGATATAGAGGATTCTATATAGATGGTAACCCTAGTGTCTATGGAATACATCCTCTAATGGATGGTGGTGCATCTGACCTTTAGACTTGAGATCACCAGAACACCATGGATTCATCACTCCTGGGTACAAGAGAAATCATCTCGGTGAGATATTCACTAAAGGGCAATGACCTCAAATCCGTAGCCACAGTAGAATCGAGTTGTCACTCATTTGGTCGATTGGTCTAGTAACTAAATATGAATATGTTAAGGTGATTCATACTTGAAGCTGACACTATTTCTATGATTCATACCTTGATGAGATAATAGATGATGAAATGATTGAATTGCACAGTAACCATATTGTTGATAGGTTGCTATTTTCGCTGAATCCAAATCTATCAGATGGCCATGATGCCTTGCTAGAGGTCAATGTTGGTACGTGTGTAATGAGACGATTAATAGGGTGTTAATCACAATATTACCCACTGCCGATATGATAAGGAGCCTACCGGTCACACACTTAGAAGATAAATTAAGGAAGATTAATAAAAGGGCGGTTTTGTCATTTTATGACGAAGGGGTATTTCAGTGCAATTAAATTTGCTAAAAGGTTGCTGCCTATGTCCAATTTTATATTGGAATTCAATTTGTAAGGTTACATAGTTATTTATATATTTATTTGTGTAAATATATTTATAAATAAATTATTATTAGAATTAATATTAATATTTATTATATATATATATATATATATATTAGATTATTAATTAATAAATAATAATTATTAAATACCATTAATGCTTGTTGGGAAAAAGGGAATATCTATTCCAAATAGGAATAGATGGCAATTCCAATTAAGGAAAAGGTTTTAATTAATCCTAAAAGGAATAGGGTCTTTTTAGTTGCACTATAAAAATTTTCAATATAACTCTCACAAAACTAAACCCTACCTTTTTTTTCCCCTTAGAGCAAATCAATTTTTTCTCTGAAATATTTTAGCCCCAATTTTATTGAATCATGCAATTAATTCTAGCAAAATTAATTATAACATATTATAGAATCAATTAATGTTTTGTTTTCTTATACAAAAGATTACTCAGTGTTTTCTCAGGAAGAAGAAATTGGTGACATGACTGATCCTCACGATGTGACCACAAGTCAAGAGGATGTGAACACATCTGATCCTCATGAAGCTCATGTAAGTGTGCCGACATCTTCATTCGATGTGAACACACTAGAGCTCAACAAGAACAAGGATTAGTTTCTCAAAATGAAGGATTGGATTCATTATTGATCTGTTTGATGAGATTACCCAAAGAAAAACTTCAACAAGGAAAAGACCATCATCGTGGATGAACAAGACTCATCCACCATCCATTGTGATTGGAGATCTTGAAGAGGTAATGGTTACTAGAATGAGAAAGTTAAGTGAAATTAACCACTTGTGCTATGTTTCTCTTTCAGAGCCAAAGAATGTCAAACAAGCTTTGGAGGATGATTGTTGGATGGTTGCCATGAATGAAGAGCTTAAATAGTTTAAGAGGAATGATGTTTGGATTTTTGTTCCTCGACTTGAAGGGATCAATGTCATTGGGACAAAATGAATCTTCAAGAACAAGTTTGATGAGTTTGGAAACATTGTAAGGAATAAGGCTAGACTTGTTGCTCAAGGTTACACATAAGTAGGAGTGGACTTTGATGAGACTTTTGCAATACTAGCTAGACTTGAATCAATCATATTATTGTTGCTTGTTGCTTGTTGCTTATTGTTTGAAGATTAAGCTTTATCAGACTTTGATGAGACTTTTGCTCTAGTAGCTAGACTTGAATCAATCATATTGTCGTTGATTGTTGCTTGTTGCTTGTTGTTTGTAGATTAAGCTTTATCATATGGATGCAAAGAGTGCTTTTTGGAATGGGATGTTGATGGAGGAGGTCTATGTGAAACAACCTGTTGGTTTTCAAGACCCTTACAAGCCTAATCATGTCTACAAATTGAAAAAAAAAAAAAAAAAAAAAAAGCTCTTTATGGGTTGAAACATGCCCCACGAGCCTGGTATGAGAGATTTACATCATTTCTCCTTGATCACAACTACAAGAGAGGAAATGCTGATAAAACCTTGTTCATTAAGAACATTAATGGTGATGCTTTGTGTGCTCAAATATAGGTTGATGACATTGTTTTTGGTTCAACATCACAGATAGAGTCTCAATAGTTTATATGGTTAATGAAAAATGAGTTTGAGATGAGCATGGTAGGTGAACTTAGTATCTTTTTAGGACTTCAAATCAAACAATTTGAAAATGGAATGTTTGTATCACAAACTAAATATGTCAAAAACATGCTAAAGAGATTTGGTCTTGAAAATGCAAAACATGCCAAAACCGCAATGAGTTATACTCTTAAATTGTCCAAAGATGAACATGGAAAGAAGGTAGACACCAAATTGTTTAGAAGCATGCTAGGAGGTTTGTTGTACCTCACTGCCAATAGACCTGATATATGCTTTAGTGTAGGAATTTGTGCAAGGTATCAAGCTAACCCCTCAGAACTTTACTTAATAGTAGTGAAGAGAATCATGAAGTACATCTCAAGTGCATTTGACTTAGGTCTAAGGTTTTCATTTGACTCTAATTCATCTCTTGTTGGTTACAGTGATACTGACTAGGCTGGGAGCTTAGATTATAGAAAAAGCATGTTAGGAGGATGCTTCTACCTTGGTAACAAACTAGTAACATGGTATAGCAAGAAGTAAAACTCCATTTCCTTATCAATTACTAAGGTTGAATACATTACTGCATAAAGTTGTTGTACTCAGGTTTTGTGGCTTAAACAAATGTTGAGTGACTATGGTTTTGATCAAGAGTGTATGACTTTGTTTTGTGATCAGACTAGTGCCATTAGCATTTCAAAGAACCTTGTTAAACACTCTAGGACTAAGCACATTGATATTAGGCACCATTTCATTAGAGAGTTAGTTGAGGAGAAAATCATTTCACTTGCACATGTGAACACAAACTCTCAACTTGCAAATTTGTTTACAAAAGCCATAGATTTTCAATCATTTGTTAACTTGAGGAAGTCTATTGGACTGCTTCAACTTGAGTAATTTTCTATTGTCAATGAATAAATTTATGAGAAAAATTCTTCTGTTTTAGTGTTGCAAGTATGCTAGATTTGTGTGATGAATTGGAAATTATTTCTCTCTTGAGAAGTGTATGCTGTGAGAAATGTATCTACACTGTTTTCATCTCTTGAAGTATAAGGATTTTCTTTCATCTTGAGTGCTTCTATTGAAATATTGACGCCTTGTGAAAAAGCTACCTTGCTAGCAGTGTTAAAGTCATTTCTGAGTAATTTTCTAAGATGTAGAGATCCCTGTCTTTGGAAAATCTACCATTAAGAGGGCTACCTCATTGCAAGTGTGAATGCTACACTTGGTTA